CTCCCCATACATGGCCGACAGTATCGTAGACCATCCTCATAAACCCGTGGTGACCCATTTCATCCTAATTCCACACAAACAAGCTCCCCATACATGGCCGACAGTATCGTAGACCATCCTCATAAACCCGTGGTGACCCATTTCATCCTAATTCCACACAAACAAGGCACAACAATTTCACAGCACAAATAATCAAACATTCAACATAAATGCATCAAATCAATCATTAATACTCAAACATAAAAGTATAATGGCATATGCACTATTTATTATTACTCACTGTGATAGAGAAAAGAAGAAACTCTAACTTGGATTTTGACTTGAAGGAGCAGTAGACGAGCTCGGACGATCTAAAGAATTTATAAAGACAAAGGAAAGAGTTAAATCTAATAAAAGACTAATTTAAATAAAGAATTAAGGAATTAGTCTAACAAATTATCTACTGTTATAACTAACCTAAATACTATCGAAATTTTGGCAGCACCTCCCCTAAAAATTGGACTATCCACCTATTTAAAATATCAAGAATTTAATTAAATATTCATACAACTCATTCGTCGGGCAATCAATCAAATCAAGTTCTTATCCTCCTTTAACCTCAACATCAACATTTTAGTTATCACAACCATTTTACATAAACTTATGTTCTAAATAATACAACCCATCAATCTTTATAGATATATGTACATGAATAAGCATATATTTATGAATAGCTTCCATCATTAATTTACAAATTAAATAACTTTCAACTTGTCCCAACAATATTATCAATCATTCTCACTTTACGCCAATATAATTAGCTTCTTTAGCCAATTATCAAATAAATAAAATCTTTCATATATATATATATATATATATATATATATATATACAAATAAAATCTATCAAGGTGAATGAACCCATTCAAATCATCTATCAACCATAAACAAATTTATACTCAACCAACTCAATTTTCTAAATGAAGAATTAAATGTACAACCTTCATATATATATATATATATACAAATAAATCTTATCAAGTGAATGAACCCATCAAATCATCTATCAACCATAAACAAAATTTATACCTCAACCAACCAATTTTCTAATGAGAATTAAATGTACAACTTCATTATACCATACCAAGCTACAATTTACATTAATATTTTGAAATGATTGCTGCCATATCCAAAAATCTTGGATTCTTGATTAAATTTTAACACTTGATACATTGACTAACTTCTTACTCTACAAGAACTTAGTTAATAATTTCACATACTCATCCCAAATATATACACTAAATTTGCACAATCCTAAATAAAGTTTTTAATTATGGTATCAATTGATAGATAGAATTAAACTTTCTTTAACTTAAACCCGTGTTAACTGCATTATAAGAATCTAGCTCTTCTCATCCAAAATTCATCAAAAGCTTTCCAATAAATTATGGAATAAATGAAATATAGCAGAAAAGGGACCAAATATCAATTACCTAGCTAAAATTACATCGGACGTTGATTATTTTTCGGTTAACATAACCAGAAACAGCTCCAACGCTCAAAGTTTGATTTTATCGACGATAACTTGGCCATAGCTAAGGAGAACGGTGGCTAGTGGAGTTGCTAGAGAAGTTGGAAGGTATAAACGGTCAGTCTTTGACAGGTTTCACCAAAAAAAGCAAAGAGGAACGACGAATCGACTGTCCCGATCACGATAGATCGCAATTGTAGCTCTTCATTTTGTTGCGCCAACCAAAAATAGAAGAGAGAGACTGGAGCTTTGTTGCCGACCATGGTACTGGAATCTCCAGAAAATCGAAGGGAAGGGAGGAGCGAGCTACCAACCGAACTTACAGCTCCCTCTCTTACTCGTGATGCTGCAACAAAAGAAATTCGATTTACTACATGAAAGCCTAATAAATAAATTGATCATCAAAACTTTCAAGGAAAAACAAACACATAGGTCGATTTACTAATGAAAGAAAATGTCAATATGGGCTTTGAGTGATTTATTCATAATTATTGAAGAAGATAAATAACTTAGAGTCACTAAATTTTATCAAAATTAACACATAGGTCTTACTACTTTTAAGAATTAATTTTGAGATTTTTAATTTTTGCTCCCATCCTAACTCAGGTCTTTCTACTCAAAAAAACAAGCTTTTTTCTATCCATGCCATAAAAAATATAAATAGATTCTCACATTACATTCAATTTACCACTTAATTTGGTTATTTTTAAAATTATTTTCATAATATAATATAATATAATATACTCATTCCTTTCTTTTTATATAGAAAAAGTCAAAATTTCTATAGGATTAAGAAGGTGATCTTTTTGTGGATTTTTTTCTAACTTACCCCGTAAGAGACAATTAAGTGGTTTCTAAATTTCAACACAACGGTGGTAAATGATGAGAGAGAAGATGATAAATGATGAGAGAGAGGATATGTTACTTAAATGAGGAGTTTTATTTGTTTAGACTTTCAATAAAATAAAAACGAGGACGAGTTTAACTAGTGCCTTTTTGCATGATCATTTGGGTCGGTGGCTTGGGGGTTTTGCTATGAAAGTGGGTTTGACAAATATTCTAGTGGGTGAGCTTTTTGCTATAAGGGTTGGGCTATTGTGTGCTTAGAAGAGAGGTTTCCGATTTCTTTTGGTGGAGTCGGACAACTTGGAAGTGATTCAGCTTATTAATTCCATTATGGTTCAGTCACATCCTTTAGCAGCCGTGATTTTGGATATGAATGCCTTGTTGGCTAGGGACTGCCAGTGTGTGGTTTGTCATATTTATTAAGAGGGTAATTTTGCAGTTGATCATTTGGTGACATTGGGACATTTAATCTCTTCATCGTGGATGTTTTGGGATTCTACTCCTTCCTTTTTGTCTTTGATTTTGTGGGTTGACGCTCTTATTGTTAGCTCTTTGAGATAGTTCATGTTCTCCTTCTTGTTTTCACCAAAAAAACAATTGTGGGCTCCACTATTCATGTAAAAAAGTTCACATATTTTTGCTATAAGTGTGGACAATTTTATGTGTTTGCAATAGTTTAAATTGTTTGTAAAGTAAAGTTGTTTATGGGAATGAATTTATAGATGTACACAACTATTAACATGTGCAAACATTTTCTTGTAGAAGTTTACAAACAACCTTACAAATATGAGTACAAATTATTTATATTTTCTGGTTATCTCATTAGCAGAACTAGCAAAACACAATTTAATTAACACAAACACAAGAGTTTTATTTTTTCAATTTCTATTTAAAATACTATTAAACGACTGAGTTTAGGTTGAACATCAACAGAGTTTAGATTGTATCTCTCTCTTTAACAATTTAAGAAAGTGGGTACCACAATTTTGAGTTAAACATTGTTGTTTGGAGGGAAATTTCCCTTCATTCTAGATTTATTAAAGTTTATGTAAATCTCACTATACTTGCATTCTTAATTATTAAGCGTAGGTGGAAGTTGTGTATATAAAATATACTTGCAACTCCAAAAATTTAATTTGTGAGTTTAATATAAAGAAGTCCTTATTTTCTTATATCAGATACAATCTGTTTTGGAACTTTAATTGTTCAACCACAATAATATCTGTCACTTTCTTAAAATTCTCTAAATGTCAATGTTTAAACTAAAAATAAAAATAAAGGTATATTGAACTTTTTGCTTTAACATTTTAAGTAATTTTCTCTATATAAAAGGAAATTTTCTCTTTACAAATATAACAGAGATAATATTATATACATGTCTTGATGTTTCATTTGTGCACTTTTTTCTATCAATTGTCATGAAAAAAAAAATAAATAAAAATCTAAATTATATTTAAACTTCCACTTAAATCTCACAAATTATTTCAATATGTGTGTGTTAATGTTTCACTGGTGCAGTGGGTAGTGCGTGTATGTGTATAAACAGTCTAATCAAATTTATAAATTTCAAGCAAAGTTGGTCAGACTAGCTAAGCAGCAGAAAATGATGGTTAATGGGTAAGAGATGGTTTTTGACTTTCTGTATGAATTGACTAAAGCTTTTAAGTAATAAAGAGAGTTGTTAAATAATTTGACAGCAACTCATCACCACCTTTGATAATTTTTGAATTGAAGTGTCTAAATAATAGGACAGTCTGAGTTTAAAAGGTAAATAAAATAATTAGTGCCTTAAATTCATTGAATTGGACCCACAGAATTATTATGATAAATAAGTATGAGCCATCTATAATCTGACATTTGGAGATTAGATCATAAAAGCAATCCTAATCCTTCCATTTGACAACATTATTTTCATCATTTTCTCAGAATCCCACAAGTTTGAAACACAATAATTGCTGTCTCTGCCCTACCTTTTGTCACTCAATTGTCCTAATCAAAACTACATCCTATGCAACTTACAAATTCATGCAAATTACTACTCAACATTACAATCATAACGCTATGAAAATTCATTTGCTTCCCCTTCTTTTAAGTCCATTGTAAACAATCATTTGCTTAATCTTTTTTCCCCTCAATATGATGGTACCATAATGTCTTTCCACTCTTTCAATTTTGTTACAAACACTAAAATTCTTGAATTTTTAAATTTCAACTTTGAACTTAAAATTTTTAAAAGTTAAAATGTGATTCACAAGCACTCATAAAATTCTTAACCTGTGAGCCCCATAAGGACAACCTACAAACCCAAAATTCTTAACTTCTAACAAAGTAGTATCATTCTTTTGTGGTACTTGAAAAATTCTTGGAGTTACTCTAATTGTTACTTTATACTTTGTTCATTTTTATCTTCAAACCACATGTCCAGTGGGTCCAATTTTGCTATCCATTGAATCTATCATGAATTATCAGCCACTTAACGCTCCAATATTCTTCAATCATATACCCTTTCTAATTACTTATTAGCCAATATTCTTCAATCATATACCCTTTCTAATTACTTATTAGCCAATTATACTTCGTTAAAAGTTAAATATAAAAATTTAACTTGAGTAATTTTTCATATAAAAATTTAAAATCATACAAATTAAAATAAAAATCACCAACTTTTCATCCCTCGATTCATTAAAGCAAAATTTCGAATGCACAATAAGCCATATAATTATCATTTCAAGAAAATCAAACCTTCTTCAGGAAAAGGAAAAGAAGAAAAAGAGGTTTATTAGTCTCTTTAGCAGTTAATTATAAGTTTTTCTAAGTGATATTTATATACAAGAATCAACCCCTGTACAAAGGCGACCTTTCTTGCACCATTATACCTCTTGAAATCGATTGCTTGAAAGCCTTGATCGGACTCGGGAAATACCAGCCCTTTCCTTTCGATGGTTTTATGTCTGCACCAACCGAATCTGACGTCACGGCCACCGCCACAGACCTTGATTTCCTCATCATTCTTCTTCTTTCCTCCTCGTTCTTCTTTGATTCTTGTTGTTCCAAAACGTTTTGCCTCTCAACATCACCTCTATTGCTTCTGTTACCGCTACTGCCGGTACTCTTAAATAGCGACCAGAACGGCGATGTCGTTTTTGGACTATCTTTGCTGTGGTTAGAGCAATCATGGTCAATTGACGGCTTAGAAGACCGGAGAAACGGAACCGCAAGTGACCTCGACCGACGGAAGGATGGCTCGCTCTCGATCAGATTGGAGACACGACCGACAGTTCCGATTCCAGAGGCATATGATTCAGAAGCAGCGGCGGCAGAGAACCGAGAGAAGGAAGAAGAAGACGAACTGGAGGTGGACGTAGTAGCGGCACAGCAAGAACAGGGGCGTACGTTAGCGCAGTCAGGGCAGAGCGAAGATAGCCGCTCCCGGAGGCACACGTGGCAGATTCCAGTTCGGCGGCGCTTCGTGGGATGTTTTGGGCATTTCCATACGTCTTCCTCATCGATGTAAAGCGCCATTTCTTGGCGATCCCTTCTCCTCTCTCTCTCTCTCTCTCTCTCTCTAGAATATCCTTCCGCTTTTCTCTCTCTGGCGAAACAGTTTCTTGTTGCGGTTCCTTTTTTCTAACGCCCTCTGGTGGCTATGACTTATGAGGCTTATAAAAAAACTCAGGCTAATCTGTTAACCCTGGTTCTGTCTCTTATTATTATATGACTTAACCATGGTTTAAAATAGTATCGATTGGTAAACCTTGGCTGGCGAAACGCCCGCGTTTAATCAGCTGTATTAAATTGCCATAATTACACGAGTAAATTACGGGAATTGCCATACAATGCAGAAATAATAGAACAAAGATCATCTAGATTTTTTCGATTAATTTACGGAAATGCTAATTAGTGTCCCCCGTGTCGTATGTACCCGTATTCACACACACACGCACACACATACACACACACAAGGAAAGTCGGATCGGTTATTCAACATAATTGATAACTGAGCATTATTTATTTGACTGATTGAACCGGACTCAATCAAATTTATAGCATGAGAAAAATAATTAAATCATTTCTTAAATTATAATTATTAACAAAATTATCCAATTACCTCTCTATTTACAAATATCAATCATTTTAAATAATTCTTTTATCTATGAATATAAATCATTTTGTGAATATTATGTAATTAATAATTTTTTTTAATTTATCATTATGTATATCAAATATAATAACTTTTTATAATTTTTTAAAAAGATAATTTAATTAAATTAATGAACAGTTTATTGTAATTTAAGTTATTTCTTAATTACGGTGTAACAACTTTAAATAAATGATACAGTTTATCTATATTTTTTATCAGCAATTCATATTTTACTTTAATAAATTATAAAAACCATGAAAAACTTATCAAATTCAATATACTAAACCTGAGTCGATAGGCTCCTGTATACCAAGTATGTTCATAAATAAAAAAAAAATCTGATTTTCAAAATTCGGACAAAATAGATTAGATATCTCTTTTTGAGATAAGAAGAGATAAGTTGCAAAACAAAACTTACAAAGTATCAAAAAAATGCTACTCTTATTTATTACAAAAGTCAAAAAAGGTATCTCAGAGCATTTCCAATACTAATGTGGATTATGGCTTATATATCATGTAAAATAGGAGATGTGAATGATGATGTGGTTGAATGTCTATTTATAGACAATGAATTTTGAAAAACTCTCTCCAATATCTTAGTTTTGAATCTTCTTCCATTCTCTTTTTTCTCTATTTTCCGGTCCTATAATATAATATGTAACCAATCACCAAAGAGCAATAAATGTTAAAAAACAAAACTTAACAAAGTATCAAATAATGCTACTCTTATTTATTACAAAAAGTCAAAAAAAAGGTATCTCAGGAGCAATTTCCAATTCTATGTGGATTATGGCTTATTATGATCATGTAAAATATGGAGATGTGAATGATGATGGTTGAATGTCTATTTATAGACATTGAATTTTGAAAAAAACTCTCATCCAAATCTAGTTTTGAATCTTATTCCATCTCTTTTTTTCTCTATTTCCGGTCTATAATATAATATGGTTAATTGAATCTTCTTCCATTCTCTTTTTTCTCTATTTTCCGGTCCTATAATATAATATGTAACCAATCACCAAAGAGCAATAAATGTTAACATTGTCTAATTGACACTCTAAAAATAAAAGGTGTAGTAGACAATGTCTATTGATTTTTTGTACATATCAGCTTGACATCTTAAATAAACATTAGCATTGAAGAATATTTTTCAAAAAGTCTTTTCATTTTTCTAATATGACAATTGAATAAGAGCAATTCACATTTGCATTAGAGATGCTCTCATATTCAATATTTGGACAATCTGCAAAATAATTTATTATTTCTACTAATATGCCTCAATTCAATATGACAGACGAATTAAACTTCTTAAAACTTTTTCACCACTTCCACGCGCTTTCAACTATTTTTTGCCTTTTAATTTAGATGTTTAATGAAATTTTCTTTAATTTTAAATTAAAGTTCGGAATTTTTTCTGTTATTTATTGAAATTGAAACGGATCCGATTTGATCGGACTGTGGATTGGTTTATAATTTAACTATTACGGTCTGTGGTTTTAAAAACACTAATATAAGGAAGTAAGGAACAGAACTGGTCATGGTTCAACAGCTGGGTGGGTCCCAATGAGAATGATTTAATTGATAGAATGTGTAAAATGAAGAGGGATCCTTGGGATGTCATGTTGACGTTATATAATTTTAAAATTAAAATGTTATTTTAATATTGACCGGAAAAATTGTAATTAAAGATCTAATGGTCAAAAAAAAAAAAAAGGCCATCTTTTTAGTTTAGGAATGAGTTCACACGTGCTAAAATTCACACGTCAACTGTGAAAGGGTATTCTTAGTTGGCGTATTTTGAATTGGTCGTCCCAATTGATATAGACGGGACTGAGAACTTTAATTATGTGATTTTACATACTTTTTGTAAGAAAAAAAATGGAAAGAGAAAATCCTTGATTAGCGAAGAATATTGCTTGATTTCTGTCATAAGGGTTATAAAAATATCATGATTGAATGAGTGTCAAATATAATTACATTAATAATTATCAATCAGATATGATTTGATTGTTTTTCTCACATCCGTGGAAAGTAAAAAATTTCAAATTTAAAATATCTCGATTGATGACGGCGCCACCTAAGAGCTAGTGGATCAAATGACTCAATTTAATTTTTTTTTTACTTTTATATAAAATACTCCATCCGTTCTATTTGTATAGAAAAATTTCCTTTTTAGCCGTCTATTTATATTGAGAAAATTTTATAATATAGTAATTTTGGGACTAATGCCAAAGCAAAAATCTAATATGCCCTAGCTTTGGTTTATAGATTAAACATTGACTTTGAGTGTATTTCAAGAAAGTGACAGACATTATCGTGGTTGACACTTAATGTTCAAAAATTGACTAAACCATAAGCAAATGTGAGATTCAAGCACATTATGCGCACAGATTAAATTTCACTAAGAAAGTTATTTTTAACATTGAAGTGTGCACATAGAGTGAAATTTACTCACAACTCTAATAAATTTTGAACGGGGAAAATTTCCCTTCAAACGACTGTACTTAAATAAAAATAATTGTATCCATTTATATTTACTCTGATGAATTCTTTAAATGGCTAAAGATAGAGATACATAACCTATATCCTAATTTTATTACTTAAATAAAAATAGTTGTGTGAGTTTTTTGCAATATGTCAAATTCTATAAATTATATTAGTGGATATGGATAAATTGTGTACAACTTTATGAATACTGCGAGCATTTGACTCATTCTTTTCAATTTCAAAATACAGTAACATACATACTGCATTTTTCACATCTTCAATAATGTTTTTCCTTTTGTTGCCCTTTTCGAGCCTCTTTTGAAATGTTAATTGGTGGTATTGTGGTTTCAGATTCTACAAAAGGCGGTTGTTCAGGGGATGATAAGGAGATCAAGTCTAAGGGTTGATTATTGAGTATAAGCACATCTTCTGAAGTTGCAAGCAAATCTTGAGGGATTGTATTCAAATGAAAAGGAAGGACTGTGTCTATGGATTAAATTTTAGAGTTGTGAACTCATTCCTATTTAGATGAATTCAGCTTTGAAAAATTTAGCTCCAAATCTCATTTTTTTACATGTAAATTTAGAGAAGCAAATAAAGAATTAAGATTTAAAATTTTGGATTCAAATTTTCTTTCAACTTTCAGGCCAATTTTTACAATCTAAATTTGATATTGAAATTTTAGTGTGTAATTACAATTAAACTGCCCACGTTTTTTTTTGTTATTGAAAGTCTAAACAAATAAAATGCCTTATTTAACCAATAGATTTTCTCTCTTTCATTATTTATCTTCTTTTATTGAAAATTGGGAACCAATTTAATATCTTTTTAGAGGTAAATTAGGAAGAAATATATAAAAAGACCACCTCTTTAATCCTAAAGAAATTTTGACTTTCTCTATATAAATAGAATGGAGGGAGTATGTAGTAACGATTTTAGCCCTATTAAATTCGATAATTTTTCTATTAAATTTGACTATTTGACTTTATTAAGTTTGACAATTTAACTATTAAACTATTTAACTTCTTAATTTTCACGTCATATCCCTTTAAAAAAGTTCTTTAAGTACAATCAAGTGAGTTAAGGGATATCCCTTGTTTAGGTAGCCTATGTGTTATTTCACTCGTTAACTCTCCTAATGAATCGAAAAATAACTTTAAAGAAAAAAAAAAAAAAAAAAAAAAAGTTCACGAGATTCAGTTACGTCTCCGTAATGGAATTCTGAAAATAACTTTAGAAGAAAAAAAAAAAAAAAAAAAGGTAAAAAGCAAAAGAAACAGCGTGAACGAAAGAAAAAAAAAAAAAAAAAAAAAAAAAAGGTAAAAAGCAAAAGAAACAGCCGTTGAAGAAAGATATACTTTGGGGTGGTTTGTTTGGGCTGAACGTTGAATACTTAATCTAAATCAACAACGTAAAGGCTGAATGTTCACATCAAGTCACTGTGATTGAACTTTTAATCACAGTTGTAGCAAAGCTACCTCGCATGACATGAACATATTATGTGACATGTCGTGTTCCCACCTAATGTATAATTTTGATTTGATTTATCTTTATGTTTAAATTATTTATATTAGAGAAAATATTTTATTCATTGACTTTGGCCTAATTAACTTATTGGTCTTTCTATTTATTTAAAAAAAAAGGAAATTTTGGTCTTTCCATTTTCGAAAAGTAATTTAATAGACTTTGGATTTGTTCGACACAATTAACTGTTTTGGTAGTTATTAATAGTTTTAGTCTGTGTTTGGCAACAACATTTTGGATACTTTTTATATTTTGAATTAGTCAAAATATTATTTCTCTATATTATTGTGATCGGTAATCTAATATATGATGTCGAGCATTTTCTAAAACCTTATTCTACCTCGTTTAGTGTTTTATTATTTTTTTGTAAAAAATTTTTTACAACCCTATCCTTTATCACATTATGTCTTTTAATTATTTTTTATACTTGACTTGTTTATAATTGATAGTAAAATATATATATATTTGTTTTACATGTTTGCATTTGAACTCATCAA